TTAATTTCTTTCAAAATCATACTAACCCCAAACTTTTGAACAGTATTTTTGAACGGTATTTACAATTTACCTTATAATAAAAAAAAAAAATTGCATCAAAATACATGACTTATTTTTTTGCACATTAGGTGTTTTACATATTTTATTGTCATGCCTCTGACCATTGTACATGGTTTATACATGTTTGTAATTAATAATGATTATTATTAATAATAATAATTTTTATGAACTTCAACTCAAAATGTTTCCTGTAACCTTTATTATAATGACTGTTTTCAGTACATTTTAAGATGCAAAGTAGTTTCTATTAGTTCATGTAGATTGGTGCAGGTTGATACCTACTGTACCAGTAATGAATACTAACTGTGTACTAACATAATATTATATAAGTTAATTATGGAAACGGTTACTGTGAAATGATGGAAATGGTTACGCCTCGAGTAATGCCTAAAACATTTTGATTTGCAATTATAATTTTTTTTACTGTGAATTTTTGGTAACCACAGCTTCCAGTTTTGTTTTGTTTTTTTACCACTAATTTCACTAATTGTTTACAAATTACCATCATAAAACCAGTTACAGTTTGAGTCTTAAAGCAGGGCATGAGCATGGCACAGACTTGTTTGGCAGAAGAGGGTGCATGACACTAACAGTTGCTTCTGGTCAGATATTTCTCATACTTTTAATAGTCTCCATATACCAGCTAAAATAAAAAAAAATCTGTAATCAACATGTGCCTTCAGTTCAAACATATCATGAAGGATGTCAAACATGCAAGCTACACCAAAAACACACCCAACACGCATAGCTCACACACATGAAAATGTGGTATGCTGCTAGGTATGCACGGCTGTAGACCTAGACAAACACATAAAGATTGTTCTGAAGAGATGCATTTTCATATATACAGCACATAATCCTGAGACACAGACAAGCAAAATGATTGCAGTCCTAGTCAACATATTTGGGCAGCATATCGCCATGCACACTGATCATAGGTTTACTGTACTGCGTGCCGCACATGCTGTGTTAGCTTAATAAATGCTGCTAAAGGACAGTTATTAATGAATTTTGTCACCATTTATTCATCCTAATGCCGTTCCAAATGTCATATCTTCCGTAGAACACAAAAAGAGAATATCAGTAGAACGTTCATGCTGCTCTTTTGCATATAATGAAAATAAATGGTGACCAAGTGCTGTCAAGCTTCAAAAATCACAAAAAAGTAGGACTGGGTTAAAATATTTATTTTTAAGGTTTAAATAAATCTGTCATGAAAATTGTTATGACAGCCACCATTAAAATTTGTATATTTAAAAAAAATTAATTGGAATAAAAAAAAAATGAATTATATAATTAAAAAAATTATTATAACATAAAAGGTTAATTTCAACATTTAATATTATAGTAATGTACCAGCTGACAGGGTTCCCTTTATAGTTCACAGGATTAAGGTGTGGTCACATTTATCGTTGCTCTGTGAAATTTCACAGGTAAATTCCATTAATTTCAATAGGAATCTGTGCAATTGGGAATTTCACAATAAAGTTCCCCAAGCAGGTTTTGCTCACGTTCAAGTAGCTTATGCAAATGCATGGTGCTGACCAACACTAAACTGATTGGTTCGAAAGTGATTTCTGTGTGAGAAGTAGGGCTGTGCAATATATCGAAATTATCGAAATATCGCAAATGTACATATCGCAATATGCATATCGCTATGGCTTGCAATATTTGGGGCCAAGAACAAAAGACAAAGAGAAAATCACTCACTGCTCTTACCTAAATAACTTTTGTAGCTTAAGTAAGAATCAGTGCATATTGAATTCAAAGAGGAAATACTAAGCAGTGTTTTATTTTTCCTTTTTATTATGAGTTATCGCATATCACATTTTTCTTCAATATCGCACAGTCCTAGTGAGAAGTGCTTCATACATTGCTAAAATACACCGTTTTTGACTGCTATATTTCACCTAAATTCTGTGACACATGAGATAAAAATGACATGTACTGCACCTGATATATATATTGAAATGAATCGATACTGAATCAAGATTGGAACTGAATTGAATTGCAAACTTGTGAATTTAAACCAAATCATGAAATTTGTGTAAACACCCATACAAAAAAGCACAATAAAAGTATTATAAAATATATATGAAACAGAGCAATAAGTCAAATGATAACAGAATTGTCTTTTTTGTTGTTGTTGTGCAAGGATTGAGTATCTTTGTGTGAAACATTGAGCGCATTATTGCATGCTGCTGATCAGAAGACTCTAATGATCACACAGACACCATCAGCCCATAGGGGCTTTAACACAGCCTTACACTGATACACATGCACATAAATACGTTATCTTCTGCTCCTCAGTGTGTCTCAGCAGATGATACAGCAGCTTGCGGGGTTTCTTTCTGCACATAACAGACAGATGCCGATAAAATTCTCCAGCTTTTTAGAAGCCAAGCATTGGCCACGTCAAGAAGATGTCTGAAGCTTCTTAAAATTCTCTGTGACCCTCAGGAGACGTTAACTTACAGAGCGACGGTGTGTATTTGTGAGCATGCTTTTAGTGTGCAAACAGCATAAGAAAGCCTTTCTGGCATTCCCTTAGGGAGGAACACCGCCTTGCTATAATTCTTGATGATTCCTACACTGCCTTTTCATCTCATATCTCGCTTATCCTTCCTTAGCAGTTTAGATTTGCCCAAATATAAGGATGTTTGTACTTTAAACAGTTCCTTACCTCTAGGTATTTGACTACATGTGTTTATTGCACATATAGACTGTGATCTAATGTGCATCAGCCATGTTCCTGCGTATGAGCAAAATAAGTGAATAACACATTAAAGCACAGTTTGTTATCGTCCATATGAGCCATCACCTTATTTACCCTCCTGAACACATCACACGCCATCTGACACAAACAAAACTCAAGCCAAGACATCCACACAAGATAACACGTGCAGGCAAACAAGTGCACATTGTTGTATGTTTACTGAAGCTGGTTACCACTAAAAAAAAAACACCTGCGGTCATATTCCTGCACAAGCGTACACACTGAGGACCGAATTCCTATCTTGTGAATCCTCACAGGGAGGAATAAGATGGAGATGCTGATCTACCTTTTTCAAAAACATAATTACTTAAAGGCAAAACATTCAGCCAAGTGGAACGTTTTCCTCATTTGAATTACAAATGACTGTCTTCCTCTCTTTTCTCACTTCATCTAGAACTCCTGAGCTAAATAAACCATCCAATTACACTCAAATGATCTTTCTCAAAAAGAGGTTCACCATATCTAATGCAAAAGATTTTTAGTGTTGTAATAGACCTAATGTACATTTTCTATAATGAGACTGTTTCCCAATCACATCCTCTTAAACAAAACCAAAGGACAGTATGACTAATGTTGTATAACCAAATTATAGTAAAGGGATCATTTGACTGCCTTTCACTCCCCTCTCATATTATCGTATAATCGTATTATCGGATGCTTTGTTGACATGTCTATTTCTGTCTGTCTAAGTTGGCTGTTTTTTGTTGTTGTTTTTGCCAAAAAAGGCTGCATATGGATTAGAACTTTTGCCATTTAATTAAACATAAAAGCTTCATTGTAAAAAAAAAAAAAAAATTAATAAAAAATTAAACACAAAATACCATAAAAATCATACAATAAAAAGCTAAACGGTAATCATAAGTTACATGCTAGTGAAAAAAAAAAAAAAAAATTTATAAACAGGACAATATTTGTATTTTACTATAAAATACTCTAATCATTATACACTGAATAAAATTGGGGTAGGAACCATTTTCACTCAGAAATTGCTCGTAAACAGTTACAAAAGTAACTGTTCAAGTAAACAGCAAGTAACACATTGAAATAAACATGACATTTTAAAATCCGCGTGAACCGGAAGTTGCTGCCGACTTTATTTCAGTGTAGTGACATATTTCCAGCTGAAACAGAATATTGAATAGAGGACATGGTTTTATGTTTGCGCTCCTCCTCCCTGTCTCTCACTCATAGCAATCTAACGGTTGGAGGGGTGTGTTTAAAGGGGTCATATGATGCTTTTTTAAAGATCATTATTTTGTGTATTTGGTGTAACAGAATATGTTGACATGCACGGATTAATTGTTCACATCAAGACTAGCAATGTGCGCTATTAAAGTAAATAAAGTCAATTTTGATTTCATGCCGACTTTAAATAATTTTCTTGTAAAACATACTCAAATAATTGTTTTAATTACAACTTCAAAAAATATTTTTTTCACAATGTATAGTTAAAAATACCCATTATTTTTATAAGTATTTATATATTTATATTTATATATTGACTTCTATATTTATAAGTCAAATTGTAAAATAACCTATTTGGTTATATTTTGTATGATCTAAATAGCTATGTTATTAGTTTTGTAACCATTTATGCACACAAGTGTGTTTATGTTACAGTGTATGTTTCCTGCATTATTATAGTGGTGTGTTTTTGTGTGTGTGTGAGCAACACTGTGTTCATTAGCCGACGTTCATGAAAACTTTAACTTTATGTGACCATGGAGGGGCCATTGAGCCTTTGACTGCCAGAGGGGTCCCAGCTGATCACTCAACCTCCACGTGACCCGTCACTTTACATTCTGTTTGATGAGATGACGTGACTACTCAACCAACTTCATTCATTAATATAAATTTTAAACGAATTCTAACATCTTTCTTTTACGTGTATTGCCGACATCAACATGAATGCTAGAAGCTCAATATATGATAGACCACAATCTTTATTGCATGACAGCTTAAGTGCGCTCGCTGTCGCGCCTTGATACACAGTGACGTTTCTTTAAAACGAGTTCAATTAAATCTGGCACGCACGCAAATCTGGACAAACATGTAAGATTTGCATTTTATAAACGAAAAAAAAAAGTTCACATGCGATTCTAACTGGATATATAGTATTTTCTCTATTGTTCTAACAAAATACATACGAATGCAAAATACACACCTTTCATCCAGTCGACCACCTGGCTTGTTGACCACCTGCTTACAGGTTCCATGACCAGAGCCATTGTGGAAGTTATTGCAGACGGTGCCAAACAAAGGTGCGAAAGAAGCGCTTCAGCACACTCCAGATCCACTCAGGCAGATTTCTGCCCGTTTTTCATCCGCTGCATGTTTACCCTGCAAATTCTGCTCTGGTACTTGCAAACGAAGCGTCGGTGGTCTTTCTAGTTCAAAGCTTTGCTCTGCATTCCTTCGCAGCCGTCTTTGTGAGAGAGCTGTCAGAATAACGTTAGATTTCTCTTGGTCTCGCGCGAGGGTTTATCCTCCTTATCATTTTCACTGACGTTGCGATGCCTTTACTGTTTCAGTTTCTCATCCCATATATAGCCTATCGAGCCATAGAAGACAAACAACGGTGAATTCACGCAGCTGTTTGCCTCGTCTCAAGCTGTTAGCAGTAAACAGTAGTCTGCACGCGCGCCCCTCGCGCACACTCGTATGACTCGCGCCTCGTCCATTCTCGCCAGTCGTTGGCTCTGTCATGAGGGCCAAGCAGCGGAGACATCTCCATAATTGAGCTGTGTGCAAACGAGAGTATTAAATACACCCTTACAAATAGTATTAAAAGATTGGGACTGGAATGCTCTATTATGCAGAATCAAATGAGTCACTGTTTACTTGGAAGCCTTTTTTATTTCAATGCTTAGATGAAGAGTATTTTTTTTAAAATGACCAATCATTATTTAAAGGGATAGTAAAAATTCTTTCTTTTTTGGAACACAAAAGGAAATGTTGAGCAGAATAACAGTCTCAGTTACTATTCGCCTTCATTTTATGGAAATAAGATGCAACAAAAGTGAATGGTGACTGATACTGTCGATCCCTAACCCTTCTTTTTGTGTTTTCAATGGAAGAAAGAAAGTCATATGGGTCTAGAACAACATGAGGGTGAATAAATTATGACTTTCATTTTTGGGTGAACTATCCCTTTAACCCAATCATGCATAGAGATTAGGTGCACACATATTAAAACACAATCTAAATGATCATTAATATTTATGTAGTTTTAGAAAGATATGCATTCAATTGAATGCATGATTAAAATCTTTATCTAAAGGCAATTTCCATAAAAAATGAATTTTTAAGATGTTTTAAATGCCTACTGTCCTCAAAAACTGAAGTGACCTACAGTCAGGGCTTTGTGCATGATCATTCAAGGGGAAACATCCAATGCCGTCGGCTGACTTTCATGCCACTAGCTTGTCCCAATTAAGCCTCTTTCTTAAAAGAAACACGGTGCTCAACAAAAGAAACATCCCCATGATGTGCTGACAAGTCAGCTTGGTTTATGCAACCATTCATTAACGGGATAGTTTACCCCAAAATGAAAATTCTGTCATCATTTACTCACACTTTTGTTGTTTCAGAATTATATAACTTCCTTTCTTCTGTAGAACATAAAATAAGTTATTTTTTTAAAATGTCATAGCGTATATTTGCCCATTCAAAGAAAGTCAACGGTCACCAAAATGGTTTGGTTACATTCTTCAAAATATCTTTGTGTGTGTGTTTCTCAGAAACAGAGAAAGTCATACAAGTTTGGAATGACATGAGGGTTTTGGAATGAATTCATTTTTGGGAGGAGTCTACCTTAAATTTTTTTTAATGTATGTTAACATTACAGCATTAGATTACAATTAGATTACAGATCTGAAATGTGATTATTGGAAAAAATATTTATACTGTATGTATAGCACTATTTTAACTAAAAAAAACTTACAAACTAAATTCATGAACATGGATCAATCTAAGACATAAAATAAATCATTACCTAAACAAATAAACGGAGATGCATTTCACAGAGTGTTTTATGTTGATTTCACATCTCATGGGAACATAAGGGGAGTGTACATTGCTGCTGACAGATGTTGAGATTCCTTACAGCCTGCAGGGGTATTGAGAAGAGGCTTTTAAGGGACAAGGGGAGGAGAAGGGATCAATGTTCAAGAGCTGCTCCATTAAGACTCAGACTCACCATCTGCAGCTAGAGTTGGGGGCCTAAACATCTACAACAAATCTGCAGGATATGAGATCAGTGTCTTTCACAGTGGGAATTCAGGGGCAAGTTCAAGCTCAAACCGGTGTGCACCGTTTTGCTACGGTTTCCGGTTTGAACGACATGTTTCCTGGAAACGGTGTGCAACGGGGTTTGAGATGCGTTTTCTCTTGTTTGGTGGGTGTGTCAAACATGTCAGCCCAATCAGCAGCAACATGTATGTAAACCACGCGGTATTAAAGAGACAGCTGGCACAATGTAATTAACATCAAAATAAACTCACAAGAGCAATTATATTGTTTGCACATGTTTATTTACATTAAAGGCAAAAAAGCTGAAATAATAAGGGCACAAGTATAGATCTGGAACTTCTTTAAGTCTGTCTAAATATAATTTAGTAATTGCAATGTCTTCTGTTCCATATCCTTTCCTTAGGAAAGTGTGCTAGACGCTGATTAATGTAACATAAAAATACTATACATATTTATATATTTTGCTATTGTATTGTGGAGTGACACTTTCATAAACTTTTCTATACTGCTCTGATTATATAATGGTAAATATTACAATAACATAGCCTAACAACAGTGATCAGCAATAATGATAAGCCTAATACTCACAATAAAAATAATAAGGTCATATAGATCATAACACAGTCTCGGAGGTAAGAAGTGGATTATCCTTCACCTGAAATGTTTGTCTTTTCATCTGAAATGCGAGGTAAATGTTGGATCACAATAATTAGGAACCACAGTTTCCACAAATCCTTTCATTTGATTGGGATGTTCTCTTTTATTCTGGACGGCAAGGGCAATGACTGTACCATCGAGCGTATTTTGCAGTATTAAACACGTATTTATAAAGATTTAATCAGGCTCCGAAAATTCTTCAAAAACAACACAAAGAATGGCCTTCTCAGCTGCCATAGTTGCAACTCTTGCGTCATCAGAACAGGGTGTTCAACGCACCACCGTTTCCGTTAAAAAAAACTTTTGCACCGTTTTTGTCGGGGCTGAACGCAGCCCAGGCCTTTTAAACATAGAAACAACACAATCTCAAAATGGGATCCTTCACCAAAGTGGTGTCAAAAAGGGTATAAGTCAAGGGTCTTCTAGTTTTTTTCAGACGAATGACCTTCTAGTGCATAGAAAGACAGACCAGGGACCCCGTTACACATTTTATTTATCAAATATTTTGTAGCTTTTGACATTTTGTTTAGTTTTTTTTTCCCCATAATAAACAATTTCTCAGAAACATAATTATTATAATTGTCAGGCCGCTGTTGAAGACCTCTGGTATAGGTAGATTTCTTCAAACATGTGCCAGGATTATGTAAGCAAAATTGGAAAATGAAAAAAAAGAAGTTTAAAATACAAGAAATAACCATAATATTACATAATGAAATACACATTTACTGAATAAAGAGCACAAATATAAATCTTATGCAAGTTATATGTAAATATAATAATAATAATACATCGATAGCAGAGACACTTAAGGTAGGCTATCAGGTACACATATCAATTGTCTACGGTCTCTACTAACAACTACAAAATCTACGTCACTTAAATATCCTTACTGCTGTCTCTTTAAGAAAACAGGGAAGTAAGTACACAACTTCAAACCGAAAGTGATTCTGATCAGATACCGTAGGTGCGCGTTTGCTAGCTACATGTATGTTCGCTGGTTAAGTTTAATATATACGGTCTTGCATTGGCTTACGGGCCCAGGAATTAATCATAAAGGAAAATCATTTATGCAAAACAATTAACTCAAAGTTAACCAACCGGTTTTGTTTCATCTTCCGCAATTTTATGTGAAGCCAGGCGTGGATCGAGAGGACTGCGGAGTCAGAAGCATTGCTACAGAAATAAACAAAGGTGAACTCATTAGACAGCTGCTATAGCTACACTTCAATCTCTATCTGAAGCTCTTTTAATAGCATTCTGTATTTGCAAACTCATTTGACCACATAAAAGGGCCTATAAAGTGAGTACAAGAGGTTTCTTTCAGTCTACAAGGTGACCAAATATTGGTTTTTCTCTACAGTGTAATTCATTTATCCAATTTCTCTAGTATTCTGGGGTACTTTTTTTCACACTGTACATTGGTAAACCTTGGGCTAATGTTTGTATGTACGTAGGCCTATGTATGAGACCAACAACATTGACTGGACCAGTATAACCTGTTTTTAGCTACTTCTTTAAAAATGACGCCGGGTAAATCTGCTCTTGCCGTGTAGAGTCTCCAAAAATCTGAGACAAGTAAAACAACGCATTAAAGTTCAGCGAGTGTGCAAAGCACATGATATTTAATTAAGTAAGCACAGAGGCAGTTTATGATTGGCTGTCAGTTGCTAAACTAGTACTACTCACTGTGTGCCATTCTAGCACCATTGTTTCACAATACATATCACTGTAACGACAAATTGATGTCAAACGTTATTCAACCAGGGTTTAAAAAGGGTTACGCCCTATTCTAGCAAATAACTTGAGTTTTATCGTTCATAACGCAATACTGCAGTCCTTCCACAGGAATAGACGTGGGTTGTTCAAATTAAATGCAAATGGACTTTGCAATATCTTTGTATCGCTTTCATCAGGGTAACAACACCGAGCGGTTTCTAACAAGCGGGGAAACGTTGCAAATCCGAGATGGATGACGACGCAGTAGATGTGGCGTCAGACAACAGTCTGCCTTTAGGAATCGGGGCTTCCGCCTTCGGGAGTGAAAATGGGGATGAAGAGGACGACGTGATTCCTCAGAGGACACTTCCATTCACCCTCGGATTCTCCAATCCTGTGGGGTAATATGGTTTTCGGTAATCTGATGTTGGTGTGTAATAAGGTTCAGCAAGGAATAGCCATGTTGACGTACATGTTAGACGCATGCATGCGTGTCTGTTGTGTAAGTGCGACACCTGCTGGTAAGATCGGGAACACGCCGAAGTCAAGATGTTATTTGGCTAATAAGCTATTTGACTTACATGCTTAATTACAACCCATTCGCTCTCAATTTACTGACTTTTTCATGTTTTCGTTTTTCTGTCATTTACAATGATCGTTCTTACCAGACAATACGTGGAGAGAGCAGAGTCCCCTGCATCCAGTTATGCCTCCATGCAGAGTAACAGCTGGTCAGAAACAAGAGAAGAGCACGAACCCTGCCGCACACAGCAAGTTTACTTCATCTTCATTCGACCCGAAGACTTTTTATTATTATTTTTATTATTATAAATTATTATAAAAATGATTTGTTTGTTTTTTGAGATTACATGACAGGTTTTATATATTTTATTTGGTCTTTGCAGAGTTAATATGTTCTACATACAGTTAAGGGGCATTTTAAAGATAGGATTGAGGCTTTTATCATTAGCATACTGTAAGAGTGAAAATGATACTTATGAGTTAT